TTCATTGTAGCTTTGCCGCGCCACCTTCCTTCGAGGAATCCTGAGAAGGAAGCAGCAGTAAAGAGACGATTTAAGGGCCTCATTCTGAGCATCAAGTCCCTGCACTGGGTGGCTTTGGACGCCAATGGGAGCTGGTAGTGTTCAGCACCACTCAGGATCAGGCCCTGAGTCTGTGACTGTGAGATATCCTATCTGGTAATTAGGAGGGGGTGTGGGGGGGAATACCTTCCTACACCCTTATCAGGCCGTACATTTAATCTGTCTCTTAAGAGGCACCTACTTAATTACTCCCTTTTCCAGTGGTATTGTTTAAACCCCTCTTTGAAAGAGCGATTCCTACTGTGATCATTATCAAGTTCTCCCTCCCCCGCCCCGCCTGCTCGCCCCCTCCCCCTCCTTTCCTAATCACCAGGCTGGTGCCAGGGCCTCCTTCACTAGCCTGCCAAGGGATCTGGTAGGAGCCAGCCATTGGGCCGCCTTGCTCGGCGTCCCCCGTTCCCCAGCCTTCCCCTGTCGTTCCCACTCCAGAGCTCCATCCCTGAGAAAAAACAGACCCCCCGGCCCTGTTCTCCAGAGCTAACTGCTGTCACACTGACCTCCACTCTGCCTCCCCGGCTGGAGGAAAACACCGCGCTCAGCCAGAGGGAGCAGGAGCGGGCACAAAGGAGGCCATTCCAGTCTAGCTGTGCCTGCCTCCTCCCTGCCCCTCTTGCTGGGGCTGGCAGCATTATGGTTAGCGCCAACAGGCCAGTTAAGCCAATGCCTCTGTAAGGGACGAGGCATGTGACATAGGCCAAGCCGATGTCACGCTGCTGACATGTCCCAGCATCACACAGGCAGACACGGCCGTGGCTGGCCGTGCCCCTGAAAGCACTGGCATTTAGCGAAGCCCAAAGGTGCTGCCAGTGGCCGAGTGGGAGGAGCCGCGTACATTGGGATTTGGCCGAGTTACAATCAGCTATTTTGGGAAGTCCTGTCGTTTTCTGGGCAGCTCTTCAAAACAAAACCGAGCCAGACTCTGAGCTCCTTTACTCCGGGACAATGCAGAGTAACCGTACGCACTGCGGGGGAGTTCTCAGGAGTGAGATCCATGGAACTATGCAACCAGAATCTGGTCCTAAGCATTTAAAATATGCTTCACTGCTTGTTCAAGTGTTGAGCCTTCCTTAAGTGGGCAGGCGTTTTAAACACAGAGCTTCCATTGGGCTTAATCAGAATGGCCCAGGCCTTTCCACCCTCTATTTATAGGAGAGAGCGTCTTTAATTTTGCTGCAACCGACTGGTTATTAGTTGTTAAAAACATACTAGTAACTATGCATATATTATCTCATTTGCTCAGCCTCAATGTATTTTAACAATTAGTTGCTAATAGGGTGGTTGGAAATTGTCATGTTTTTTTAATGGAAAATGTTGATTTTTCTTCGAAATGAAATGCTTTCCATTTTCCCCAACCAAAACCAGATTTTTCGGCTGACACTGCCGAAACAACAGCAACAACAGCAAACTGATTTGCAATGAGAAATAAAAATGTTTCGAGGAAAGTCGATGCTCTCCACAAACATTTTAATTTAGTCAAAAGTGCAATTTGCCATCAAAATTGATGGGAAACTTTTGACCAGCCCTAGTCGCTATTTCGTTGACATTCCTAAGCTTTGATAAAACGTAGCGTTATCATGAGTTCATAGATTCATATATTTTTAGGACCACGAGGAACTATTGTGAACATCTAGTCTGAACTCCTGTATAATACGGGCCAGAAAATTTCACCTAATAATTCTTGCGTCAAGTCCAATAACTTGTGACTGAGCTAGAGTGCATCTTCTAGAAAGAGCCATCCAATCTTACATCAAGTGATAGAGAATTTACCACATCCCTTTGTAAGTTGTGCCAGTGGTTAATTACCTTTATTGTTAAAAAATGTGCGTAATTTCCTATTTGAATTTTACTGACTTCAACTGCTGGGCTCTGTTATTCCTTTTTCTGCTACAGTAAAGTGCCCTCTGGCATGAGAGACAAGCTCTCATGTGGAGGCACTTGTAGACTATGATCAAGTTCCCTCTTAACCTTCTCTTTGATTAAGCCAAATAGCCTGAGTTCCTTGGTTCCAACAGTGGCCGTAGAGTTTGTTACTATAAATATCAACATGACTTTTAGAAAACGTTCAGCTTCTGCATTGTTCTTCTAAATGTGTTCCCGTTTTTGTTTTTTGACACTGCTCGTTTTGATTGGCCAGGCAAACCACATGGTGGGGTTTGTTGTTGTTGCTTTTCAAACTAGAACATTTCCAGTTTCAGCAATCCACCCACAAGTTCAGTAAACAAACAAACAAACAAAATCAACCCATTGCAAAACACGACAGAGTGGAAAAAACACTTCTGAATTCCTAAGAGTCGTTTTCTATTTTTCCATGAGCTGTAGTTACGCCCCTGCTGCCTGGAGTTTTGGAAAAACCAGAAAGACTCAAGCTTGAAGAGATACAGTCATGCCTCTTTAATTACACTTCACTGATACTTTATAACTGAATACAACTGTGGCTAAAGACAGTTCCAGACGCTTGCTGACAAGCACCGGGCTGGGTAGGAAAAGAGTCTGCCTTACCAAAACAGAGCTCAGCAAATCTCAAACAGAGACTCAGCTACGGTACGTGATAAATCAGTGGGCGATACCTTTCTGAGTGAATTTCATAAGCGAAGGGAAAACAGGTATTGTCATCTGGCACACTATGCACATACTGGACAGTGCAAGAAGCTAGAGATCCGCTAAGGCATGTAATTAGCAATGATCCCACAGCTGCCTAGAACAGGCATCAGTTCCTTCGAACAAGGAACAGTCAGATCAGCAGATAGTACCAGTGGTGAACATGACAAGGCTCTTAAAAATGTTCTGAGTTGGGACACTGTCTGAACATAGCCTTTGGGGTCTTGATTCTTGAAAGTCAGTGGGGTACCATGTGAGTAAGGACCACTTACCTAAGGGAGTGCAAGCCCAGACCCTTTTTATATATCCTCAGTGCGCTAGCTGTCTGCACCTATCCGAGAACGATGCAAAAGACAAGTTCCCTGGCCCTATGGCTTTTGAGTTAGCTGTGTATGAAAAAAACATGGCAATGCGTTTGTCTGGTAGTCCCATGAACTGATGGCGCTTTGGTTTGTTTTTTCCCAGCCTCGGACAGTTCAAAAATGGTTGATTGGATTTGATCAAAATTTAAAATAAAAAATAAAAAAATTGCTGTACAGCTGAGGTGAAAAAAAGGGGCCATGTTAGTCCAAAAGGAACATTTCGGAGAAAGTTACAGGTGATTGAAAGTTGGGATTCTCATTCAAGCTGTCAGCTTTAACCCGCACTATAATGTGGAGTGAACTGGAATAAATAGTCTAGAGGAACATTTTCACGTATTGTTTCTGTGTTTATTACCATCGCGCCTAGGGGCCCTAGCTATGCAGCTGGAGGACTCCATTGTGCAAGGCGCTGTACAGACACACACAGAATGGATATCTATGTCGATCACTTTGTAAATGACTTTGGAGCTGAAGTCCTACGGACTTAGTACACTTAGGTTCCTAAGCACCTGAATTGCTTTTTAAAATGGCTGCGAAATCACTGAGGCACCTTTGAAAATGTTTCCCTGCCACTTAGCTGTGACTCTGCCGTGCATGAATAATGTGGCCATCTCAAACTCACGGCCATAAAAATGTGTAGCTCCCCCAACACCACCAAATAGTCTGCATGTAACAGACCAAATGAATCCCTGGCATAACCCCAGTGGGATATGAGAGAGAGGAATTTGCATTCCATTCTGTGCTGTGTGACCGGAAGTTGAGTGGCTTAGGCCCGGGTGCTAGTGTGGTGAAGTTTTGTGATGGGTTGGGTTCATGCTTGGAGTCTGGTATTGTGTTGGGTGGGGTTGCTGGGCATAAGAACACAAGGCCAGCCACCCCTGGGTCAGACCAATGGGCCAACTAGCCCAGGATTCTGTCTTCCGACAGTCGCCTTAATTTATAATCGTTTGCTCCTTAGTGTTTGTGCTGTGAGGAAATAACTTGAACTTTGTTTTTTGTGGGGGAATTGGATATTATACAGGCCAATGTAGTGATTCTCGATACCTGTATGTCTATTCAGAGGGGTGATACGCAGCATTAGCACACGTCTGCTTCACACCTAGCATCGCTACACACGTGTGGTTTTTTCGTTTGTCCATGAGCAATATATGCCATTGGCGTTTTAGTTTTGACAAATGTCCTTTCACCGCTTATTATATAAATAATATAAATAACTCATCCTCCGACTTCAAACATGCCACTTCAGATGTATGGCGGGAGATTACAGAGTTTGTTAAAGCTCAGGTCTTCAATCATCTAGGCATCTTAGAGGCTGTTCACTAAAATAGAGATCAATGCTTCAATTTTATGGGAGGCCTGTCCCATGTGACCAGACCCAAATCTCTTATTTTATGGCTTGCTTATGCATTCCTGGTGAAAAACGGTTTACATTTTGGGCCCCGGGAGCTCTCTTAAATCAGCTGCCAGGTTTTTGCAGCTGGTAGCAGAGGGGAGCGCTGTCATCGGGCTGCCCGGAGGTGAACAAACGAGCCGAGATGTATGTTAGTGATGGCCTGAGCAGGGGTGCTGAGCGTGCTCCCCCCAGTGCATGGAGCTGCTACCGCGCCGAGTGGAAAGGGCGGTGGTTCCACGAAGGGGATTGTTGCCTGACTTACAGCGCAATGCTAGGCCCTTCCACCCCGAGCCATCACTCAACCTGCTGCACATCAGAGAGCGGCACTAGTGAAGGCCAGAAAGGGATGAACCCGAGCAGCGTTACTGGCTGCAGGCTGTTTATCACCCCCGCTGCTGCTCACCTTGCACCAGTGACTCCCTGACAGCAGCTTCTTGGGCTTCTCCGAGAGGCAGGTGAAAGGGTTAAGGAACGGCAGAGAAGCACGAAAGGACAGCAAGGTAGGAAGGCAACTAGGATAACCCCATTGCTACTAATACTGCTCCTAGTGCCCATTCCTGGCGGTTCTGTTGCAGAGATGGATCTGGACCTAAACTAGACCTGTGCCTTCAGCTCCCACCAAGCTTTGGAGTGGTTCGGCTACTGCTTCTGACCTCATCCTTCTCTCTAACCAAGGGCTCAACCAGAACGCTGAATCCAACCCAACCCAGCTTCAGAGACATTTGGATTCTGGCTCCAATCTTCATGACTCACCTCAGACCACTGTGAGGTAAATCAGAATTATTATCCCCGCTGGGGAAACTGAGGCACGCGGCAATTAACTGACCTGCCCAAGGCCATGTGGGTGGGCAGTCTGTGGTGGAGTTGGATGGAACCAAGGAATCCTAATTTCCAGGCCTCGGCATTAACCACCAGAGCATGATTCATCTTCCTATCTGGGATGGAGAACAATGATTGTTTGATTTATTAAGTATCCACCAGCAGCGCCGGGTTCCCTGAGCAGTGATGAGAACAGATTAAAATACAATAAAGACGTAGCAGCACAGATGTTCTTCCAGAGTCAGCCAGAGAGAGACACATTTAGGATACCTTGGTGACACTGTCCCCTAGTGGAATCTGGGATTGGGTATCTGTAGGAGTCACCCAACCCATTCCTACCCAGTGGGGTTCAGTAAGATCCCTGCTCTCTATTAGCAGTTTGCACTGAGTTATCCTCTCGAGCTGTGAGATTGCAACACTGCACAGTAAGGGGTGTATTTCTAAAGGCTGCCCTTTGCTCGTCTGCACGTGTGACTCCTCACATGGGGTTATTAGCAGGCATGGGATCCAGTGGTTTGCACAAAGCGCAGACCCTAACTATTTGAACTAACAGAGGAACTTCATTAGTTGGTAGCAGTAGTAGGTTTTTATCCCCTTAAGTGGGTCAGATACTGGGGGAGGGGAAATGTAACACATACTGGGTTAGACATGCCGATGTGTACCTGCACTCACATACAGTCACACCTGGTAGATGCAAAAACCAGTATGTCTTATTAGCCGAACATGCAGTTTTCATAGTCCAACATCTGCCATAATTAGAATTCACACCCATTGGCAGCTCCTCCCCCCAGACCCCCCGCAGCGCCTCCTGCCTGCTGACAGCCCTGCCTATCAGCTCCTCCCCCTCCCTCCTAGCGCTTCCTGTCCACTGCGGATCCGCTGTTCAGCCATGTGCAGGAGGCGCTGGGGAGGGAGAGGGAGGAGTGAAGGTGGGATGTGCTCGAGGGAGGGGGCAGAATGGGGTGGGAAAAGGCAGGGCGGGGATAGGGCTTGGGGGAAGGGGTAGAGTGGGGGCAAGGCAACCCCCCCCTACCCCCGCAACTCAGAAAGACAGCGCCTCTGGTGAAATGTCAGAGCAGGGTTCCTTCTTGCCTTTAATGTCCAGAGACACCTGGATAAGTGTAACTCTACCCTTGCAAATTAAATCTATTTCTTTTATTTTAATGGGTGCCATAAGCGTATATCTTTTCCCATAAGAGAACTGCAAGCAAAGCCCTTGAAGTGAGGAGTAACAAAAGTCCACGCCAACGTCTATAAACCCAGTGTTGTTGGCTACCACCTTGTCCGGGGAGTTTCGACTTTGAATTATTGCCGTTTTGACGCTTTCCTGTTAAGCAAAGTGCAGAGTTGGTAGCAAGCAATAAACATAACTCCTCTGCAATGTACAAACACCTTCCCTCTCCCCCCGCCCCCATGCAGCCGTCTCCTTCCTGACTGTGCTGTGACAGAAAACAGCTGCTCCACTGGAAAGAAGCACCTCCAGAATGCGGGCAAGGAGAAAGCGGGGACTTGACTAAGAACACATAATGCAATGGGATTCGTAAATGCACCTCTTCCCCACCCTCTGCCTCCTGCTGCATGGAAAAATTCCACCACCAGCGCTGAGACATTATTTATCGTGGTGTCTCCAGGTGACAGCGCACGCTGCCTGTGTTTGCAGGGAGTGCTACCATTAGTAACTTTTAAGGATCGTAATCATCCGCCAGAATGGAACATAGCAAAGCTGCAGCCAGAAAGCGGAACAGCAAAGTGAAAGCACATACTGGGTTTCGAGCTACGAAACAATGTCGTCTGTGCCCTTTGCTGTTGCTTTGCGATACGTGTCGATGGGTTTGTAAACTCTTAAAGCAATGAGCTGGGGTCTTACGCTGGAAATAGAATCATAGAATAGCAGGGTTGGAAGGGACCTCAGGAGGTCATCTAGTCCATCCCCCTGATATTCCTGCCTATCGGAACCCTTCCTCCAGTTTACAGATCAGAGATTCAAAGGCCAGAGGGGACTGCCAGTGAAGGAGGGCCGTGGGGCATAGTAGACTGAGCACTGGACTGGGACCTGGGTTCTATTCCAAGCTCTGTCGCTGGCCGGCGGGGTGACCGTGAGCAAGTCACAGCACTGCTCTGTGCCTCAGTTTCCCCAGCTGCAAACTGGTGATGACGCTGTTGACCTCCTTTGCGCAGTACTTGGGGCTCTGTGGGTGAAAAGTGCTATACCAGTGCTAGCCGGTGTTTTAAAGGTAAAAGCAGGCCTGTTAGTGGAGGCACGTGGGTGGGAGTTTATCTCAAGAATCAGACAGGCCACAGATAATGAAACCCACCTGTTAAACCAGATACTGAATCTACTAGAACTGCTTTCCCTTCAGATACAATCTTCAGTGCTTGACATGACACACAGACAGAGACCGGCTAGTATACAATGACAATTAGGAAGAGGCTGGTATTGTGATATCTGGCTGGGCTCAGCACCTTCAGAGACTGCCAAAATACCCATAGAGAAGACAAGACCCTTGTCTTCAGCTGTCCTGTATCCAAAATTAACCCTATCCCAAGTAGAGCTGAACCCTGAAAAGGGAGCAGTGATAGAGCCTCAGGAAGCCCATTAAGGACTTTGCTATTGATTTTACTTGAAAGATGCTCAGATGCCACAGTGACGGGCAGCAGAATAAAATCCTCCCGAACAATCCTCCTTAAAACTTTCCACTGCAAAGGGAGAAACAGTGAATGAATGAACGAACAAATGAACATGCAGACAGGAGCAACCTTTCAGCCAGGGAGCAGGGCCCCAATGTGCCAGGCGCTGCACAAACGCAGAACAAAAAGATGGTCCCTGCCCCAAAGAGCTTCCAATCTAAGAATAAGACAAGAAACAGCAGTTGGAAACAGACAGACCGATGAGCTGTAATATTGCTCGGTGTGATAGTGATCTCAGCACACCAGCATCCCTGTCCTGCCATTGCTTCAGCCTCGTAGCTGCATGAAAACATTCCTCAGTACCACCTTTTACATACTGTTTACTGGCCCGACTCGCTCTGCTGTTACCAGGAGCAAAATACCTGACACAAAGGCATCCGAAACACACACACACACACACGCACACACACATTTCACTAGGAGGGTGGTGATGGACTGGAATCTGGAATGGGTTACCTAGGGAGGTGGTGGAATCGCCATCCTTAGAGGTTTTTAAGGCCCGGCCTGACAAAGCCCTGACTGGGATGATTTAGTTGGGGATTGGTCCTGCTTTGAGCAGGGGGTTGGACTAGATGACCTCCTGAGGTCCCTTCCAACCCTGATATTCTATGATCTGAGAAGTTATGGCTTTGAGCCACAGGATAGGGTTGGTGCAGGAAGGTTTGGGCTGGAGGGAGAGGAAGGGGGCACTGGAACAGGAGGGGCATGGGGGCCCCCACTTTTTACTGGCCATAAGGGTGAGCAATGGGGGGAGGGTGCAGAGAGGAACAAGCGGGGGATGGGGTCTCGGGGGGAAGAGGCGGCGTGGGAGCGGGGCCTCAGGCAGGTCGTGCGGCGCAGGGGGTAGGGCCATGGTTCGGGTGCCTGTGGCCCCCACACACACACTTTTAAGGCACTTCCGCTGCTCCTGGGGAGAAGCATCCAGGAAAGGGTCAGGAATCTAGAGGGAAGGGGGAGCTCTGAAGGAAAAGTAGAGGGGAGGTCTAGAGGAGAAGGAAGTGGGGTGTTGGAGAGGAAAAGAGAGCATTTAGAGCAGGGGTCGGCAACCTTTCAGAAGTGGTGTGCCGAGTCTTCATTTATTCACTCTCATTTAAGGTTCCGTGTGCCAGTCATACATTGTAACGTTTTTAGCAGGTCTCTTTCTATAAGTCTATAATATAGAACTAAACTAGTGTTATATGTAAAGTAAATAAGGTTTTTAAAATGTTTAAGAAGCTTCATTTAAAATTAAATTAAAATGCAGAGCCCCCCGGACTGGTGGCCAGGACCTGGGCAGTGTGCGTGCCACTGAAAACCAGCTCGCATGCCGCCTTCGGCCCGTGTGCCATAGGTTGCCTATCCCTGCTTTAGAGAAGTGAAAGAGAGAATCTGGAGGGAGTTTGGCAGGAAGAGAGGAAGGGCCTACAAAGGAAGGACCCTGATTCAGCAAACCGTCCCTGTTCAGCCGAGAACTTAAGGAGGTGCAAAAGTTCCATTGGCTTTAATGGGACCCAGGACCTGATCCAACGCCCATTGCATACAAAACTTCCCATTGACTTCCGGGGGCTTTGGATTGGACCCAAAGCCCGTGTTTCGGCGCTTTGCTGAATTGGGGCCAGAGAGAGAGCTTGCCAGAGGTGAGAGAGGGAGTTGGCCAGGAAGGAAGAAGGGACTAAAAAGAAAAGTAAATGCCGCTAGAGCTTCACAGTTGGCTAGAGGAACTGGGCAGATGGTGAGTGAAATCCTGGCCCATTGAGATCAGCGGCAAACCTCCCACTGACTTCCAGCGCGCTTAGTGATTTCATCCTAAATCACTGGACGTGGGC